GTGTCCGGTTGGAAATTGGAGTGAAATTCTGAACAGTAAAAAGCAGCACCAGAATCACAACAGCAAGTCTCTCACATAAAAGTGCCATTATCTAGAAACCTTTAGAAAGATTTCTATCTTTCTTTTGAAAACCTTCAACTTTTTCAGATAAATTCCATCCTCTAGTCACTGACTTACCACTCTTGCTGTGAGAAACTGCAGGTAAACCCAGAAAGGTGTTTTGCAGTTTTTCCATCTTGTAGTCATCTTTTTTCTTCATTCTAAACACTTGTGGAACTCCACAGTGCCAAGAAATATCAACACGGGAGAGCTGGAGCCCAATAGCACCGAAGACTCAGTTTGACTTAACTGCATTTTACAGGCAATAAAGCCCACAGGTGCATTCACTGCCACCTGACAGTGATTTCAAGACTAGTAACAAGGGTGAGAGAGTGATGAGAAAGGTAAAGGCTGCCCTAAAATATAGCAGGAAGATATTAAAGAGAAAGATTTCTCCATGCTTTTCTCTAAACTATGGTGTGTTACACAGCAACCTGAGTAATGTTGGTCATCCATCTGAGAAACAGGTTAATATCAGCTGGAATATTTTCAGAGATGGGCTCCTAAGATTAGGGAAAGACTGTAAAAGAACCTGCCTTCTTTGACCTAAAGAAAAAGACAATGTGTGATAGTGCTTTGCAAAGACATCAAGGCTAAACACTGGAGAGGGAGATGAAGTGTCTAAACTAGAGCAAGAGTTTGGCACAAGGACAAAAGGGATTATACCTACTATGAATACATTCAGCTTGGAAACTAGAAAGTGTCCAGCCATCAGAGCTCAGAGTACGGGGTAGCCTCACAGTGGGAATAACATAAGGAAAATAACCTAATTAGTTTTAAGAGGGAGATTGAAAAGTTTAAGAATGTCTCAACAGCAGGGGACTGGATTTGGGAAGTGCCTTTTAGTCCTGCGTTCAAGGACGAAGACTGATCAGAAAAACAGCCAGAACCTGGATCTGCATAAAATCCCTTTCAAAAGCATTTTTGCAAGTCAGTCTCATCAGGTTTAATTTCTCACACCTTTGATTCACAAACATGATCAGAGATTCATGCAAGTGTCAGGTACCTGTGTGTACCTGTCTATAGGTTACCATCCTGAGTTACAAGTGAGCCTCTGTTTTGTCACTGGTTCACTTAACCACTCTTCACACACAGCAATGTAGCAGTAACATAGAAGGACAAGTAAAGAGGATTTGGGGTGGGTTTGGACACCAGTGCAAGTGTCTGCACACAAAGTAACCCATACTGTAACTGTTGTAAACCTGGTATAAAACTTGTATTAAACTATCTGTATTATTTTCCTCTCTGTACCATTCCTTCTGAGAGCCCATTCACTATGATGCAAATGCAACTTTCAGGCCATTTTTACATGAAAAAGGGATAAACCAGAAAAAAGTTGGGGGTTTTTGTGGTTTTGGGGTTTTTGTTTTGTTTTGTTTTGTTTTTTTTCTTTAATATAATTGTGAAGGATTATCTTCACCACTGTTGTATAAACAAGAAAAAAATCATAGAAATTACAAAAGAACAAAATATAGGTACAAACAGACAGTAATTAACACACTGCAATACGTTTAAATGTGTGTTCCCAGAACTTCAGAAAAGAACTGCTATGACATTCAAAGTGAAATCTCCACTGAAGCAATATTGTAGTCTTTTCCCCCAGAACTTTATTCCCAATTAAAGAGGTCCATCATTAAATGCAATAAGCAGTAAAATCTCCAGATGAAGAGGAAAATTAGCAGATGACTGTTACTTAGTTTTGTTTTACCCCCACACATCAATGTGATTACTACTGTGGCATCAACCTCTTCCATCATCGTGTGTGATCATCCATGCACCATTTTGCAAAATGAGGTGTTTTTCTCCCACAACAGCATTTTTCTTTCTTTGGCAGTCACCCAGAAGGTATCTCCCCAAACCTACCAGGGTTCTGTTTGGTTGTCTTTTACCCATTACTACCTCACTCCCCAGCATGCCAGCCTTGGTGAGTGGACCTGAATTCCCTGAGCTCAGAAAGCCAAGCGCGTTTGGTTGTCTTTTACCCATTACCACCTCTCACTCCCCAGCATGCCAGCCTCGGTGAGTGGACCTGAATTCCCTGAGCTCAGAAAGCCAAGCGCTGCCAGCCCCGAGCCAACACCGCGCCGGCAGCGCAGACCCAACAGCGGCTTTCGGGTTCCTGTGAGATGTCTCTAGACAGGGAGAATCCACACACCGCCTGGGCAGCTCTTCCAGTGCCTGCCTCAATGGAGAGCTCTTCCAGATGTTGAGGTGAAGCTTCTTGTGTTCTAGTTTATGGCCACTGTTCCTCGTCCTGTCACTGGGCACCACTGAAAAGAGTCTGGCACCTGTCTCTTGACCCTCACCTTTGAGATATTGATATGCATTAATAAGATCCCCAAAGGAGAGGCCCCGTTCCCTCAGTCTCTCCTCATAACAGAGCTGCTCCAACCCCCAGTTATCCCCTGGATGTGCTGTTCATCCACCCGGCTCTCCTCTCCCTGCTGCTGCCCGGACACACGAGCCGCGCGGTGGCCCGGGGCCACACGGGGAGCACTCCCTGCGCAGGTCGTCCCTGCTCTTCACCCGCTGCAGGCTCCTCTGCGCCCGCCTCACCCCCTCCGGGGCCAGGCGGGCACCCCCGAGCTGCCTGGAGCCGGGCCCCGGGAGCGGGGCAGTCCGGGCCCCTCACCACAGAGCGCGGCTCCCCCCGCCGCCATCGGCGCGAGCTGATGACGCCATCTTGGGCAGCCCCAACATGGCCGCGGTTCGGGCTGTCCCGGCCCGGCGGGATCCACGGGGTGTTCGCCTCTCGCGCGGGGCTGCTGAGGGCTCCTCCAGCCTGCCCGCCCCGGCACGTCTGCTCTCCCGGCTTTACCCGCCTCCGCCGGGCCATTTCCCAGCGCGCTGCCGCCCGCGGGGCCCAGAGCAGCGGTGCTTGCCCGGGATGTGCCCGGTGTGAGGGAGCCGCCGGTGCCACAGCGCCTTGCGGCACCTCAGCGGTGGGCAGCGGGGCCAGAGCCGGCCGAGGGGCTGCGCCGGGCCCTGGCGCTGTTTGAGTGTCACACAGCTGCAGTTCCTTGGTAGCCAACAGAGACCCAGCCGTGCAGAGGGGTTGGCATCTGAAGGGAGTGTGTTATCACAGAAGTTATCAAATGTGCTGGGCTGCGGGCTAAGAAACGTAAAGTGTGACCCCAGACACTGTAGGCTGAGTGAGAGAGTGTCAGACCTTTTTAAAATGCTTCTGTTGGGAAAAAAAAAAAAAAAAAAAAAAACCAAAAAAAAAAAAAAAACTAACCAAACAAAAAACCATAAGACAGGAGATGGCAGGGGTTTAATTTGGTATAACTGCCAGTTTACCTTGGCCACCAACCTAGGAAAATAGGCAGTAATAAAAGAATGGAAGGCAAATGGCCCTCTTGGTTTGTCCCTCAGGTATTGTCCCTGAGGCTTGCTGATGGGGGAACAGCACTGAGCATCCTGCAGGGGAGAAATGAAAGACCATCCCATATGCCAGCATGGTCTGCCCTTGGCCCAGCCTCATCCTGGCTGGCTGCAGACAGGTTGGGAGAGCACCTGGAACAGCCCTTGCCATGGCAGAGACAGGATCCTGGCAGAACAACTGCTCTGCTATTGGCTTTATTCCCACCATCCCCTATGCTATTCAAAGGCAGACCCTCAGTGAAGATTGATTTTATTTTTTTTGTTCCCCTCTGGGAGAATCTCAAGTTTATCCATGGATTTTGATCGCTACATAAATCTGATACGAATCAGAAGTGACTATATGGAGACAATCTCTGCCTTTCACACACCTGTCCATGGCTTTTGCAACATTATGGTAGTAAATCCTTTATGATAAAAAATCTTTTACCACTGCCACATTTATATCCTAAGATCTTCTGGAAGTCTGGGGCTTGATGGAAAACATTCTCGATTTAGTGAGACATTTGCAGGAGCTTGTCCTTGCAGACTCTGTTGTTCTGAAACCTGCACTTTCCTTCTTAGAACTGTCCACAGAAGTGCTCTGAATCATATTTGCTTCTACACACCTCTGAGAAGCTGGGCAAAACCCACTCCGTCAGCCAGGCAGGTTGGACAGACTTGTTTCTTCCTGCTGGATTTTACAACTGCAAACAAGTCTTCAAAATAAAACAAAACAAAAAAACTCACCAGCAACACCAGCAGCCTTATTCTGAACATGTGGGATGCTTCCCTGCATGCCTGTTCATTTCCTGGAGTGAAACTCAGACGCACCAGTTCACTGCTGCCCTGAAGTGTGTGGAAGCTTTTTTTCCTTCTCCCTCCTTTTCTCTTCCCTCCTTCCTTGTGTTGATTTGTGGGACCAGAATGACTTTGATTTCAGCAAGTTTGCTGTTTATTCACGTCACAAGTTTGACAGCTTTACACCAAATCAGATTGCTGGGTTTCAGGAGAGCTCTGAGGCGTCACTGGGAGCTCCTTTAGATTAAACTCGCCTCCCCGGTCTCCCCCCTCTCCCCCTCCTTCAGAGCCATTTAAACCTCTCTGGGGCTTTAACAGAAACGTGCTCCCAAGACCTGCATTTCATTCTGCCACTAATATGGTAAGTGCTCTTTGCATTTCTCTCGACCTCGAGGCAGAGGAGAAGCTGGTCTCTCCCTTGGGGGAGTGCAATAGATTTTGTGCCCTCTTAAGATGGGAAAGAAAGAGGGCTCTTCTCTACCTGCCAGTGCAGTCTCTGCTGCTGTGCCTTCCCATGGGTGGGCAGACTCCCTGACTGAGACTCCAAGTTCTGCCTTTAGCTTCCTTGCAGAGATTTAGAGTTGCTGCAGATGAGGAGGGAGAAGGGGTGAATCCAGAGACAACCCCAGGTTCTGCGGTCTGGGACTCCTGCAGAACTGCAGGGGCAGAAGAGAGTGCGAGCAGCCAGGAGGTGACTCTGCTGGCTCTGTGCTGCTGCTTTGCAGCTGAGTCGAACACCCATGGTGGCAGCAACGGTCTGGCCAAGGACAGCACTGGACCCCCCTTCACCCTAAACCCACTCAGGACCGTAGCATTTCCCAAGGGTTTGCAGGAAACGGAGCCGCCTCCCTGGCACAGCTGTGCTCGGAGCCCCAGCGCTGCGGGGACGGCACTGCCCGCGCTCGGCGCACGGAGCGGTGCCACCGGGAAAGCGGGGAGCGGGCACCGGGTCAGGGCTGGGCGCTGCCTCGGGGACCGGCGGGGCTGCCCCGCGGCAGCACCTGAGCACAGCCCGGCCGGGACAGCAGCGGGGACAGCGCTGCCCCGCCGGGGCGCTTCTGCCGGGGAGCGGCGGGGCCGGGCTGGCACCGCTTCTCCTCGGGGCCCCGCCGAGCGCCCCATCGCCTCGGCCCCTTCCCTCCGCAGAGCGCCGGCCGGCCGTGCCCGGAGCCGGACTTCGCCGGGGGCTCGGGCAGCGCCTGCCCCTGGTCCGCCCCCGCCGGCGTTTCCAAGGAGACCTGGGCCGCCGTCTGCGCCGCGGAGCCGCCGCACAGCCAGGGCCGGCGGGAGGCTCGGCCGCCGGGTGAGTGCTCAGCTGCCGCCGGCAGCGGCCGCGTCCCCAGCCGCGCTGCGAGCTCTGCGGGGCCGGGATAACTCTCGCTGTCGTCCGCAGGCCAGTTCTGCGGCCCGCAGCTCGGTGCCCAGGACGCGGCGTGGCAGGGAGACCAGCTGTCCTCCCAGCTCTACAGAAACAAGCAGGTAAAGGCTCCGCACCCCCGGGTTCACCCCACGAGGCTCTCGAACTTTGTGTCACGTATTGCATCCTCTGGGTTGGCTTATGGCATGTCTCCCTGTCACTGGCACGGATGTCTGAACCGACATAAAACTGTTGTTCCTTGCTTGACGTATCTGTCTCCCCCATGTTGTCCTGTGAGGTTGGACCAACTGTGGTGGGATTCCCTATCCATTCCTCCCCTCTTGCATCATATTGCCACAGCAGCCTTGGCACTAAAGAAAACCAGGAGCATGAACAGGGGGGCCTCAGGCTCTGGTGATGCTGTTGGCTAAAAATACATAGTGTGTGTCCTCCTGATTCCACCAGGTTTAACTTCATGGGAAATGATTCCACCAGAATTGCCTAATTACATGGAAGATCAACTGTTCTGGCCAACAGGTTTTCCTTGTCACTTTATTTTCTCTTATATTTCATTTTTTTGTAAATCCCAACAAGAGACAGGAGAAACTGAACTGTCTTCAATGAAGGAACTTCACTTTGATGACTCTGATCAAGTACTTGGAATGATGTTTTGACACAGTCAAGTCAGTGAAAATTCAGATATTATCTTAAAGGGCCCTGGAATCAAATCATAGTTCCAGCTGTCAGTGTATTTCTTTCTTTGGCTTTGCCTCAGTCATTTAAGTCTGTTTTTGACAAAGCCTATGCTCAGAAGATGCTTGTGGTCCTTGGCAGAAGATTCTTTTTCCTACTAAAGAAGTCTCCAGAGCTCTGATGAGGAGCCAAAAATCTATCTGTAAACACTTAGATTTCCCTTGGAAAAGTGTTAGGTGTCTGCCATTCCTGTTCAGTTTTTGAGACCAGGGATTATCTCAGCTCTGTATATGTACCAGGGCTGGTAGGGTCCAGAACTGAAGAGATCACTGAGTGCTACTTTATCATAAAGAAGGGCAACTGCATCTCGCTTCAGCACTCTACCCCCATAAATTGTTAGTTTGCAACTTCTCCTCCTTTTTTTTTCCCACCAGCCAGCTATAAAAGGGAAGGGAGAGGGCAAAGGGATGTTTGCTGTGGCTCAAGAGGAGATCCTGAAGCTGCTGTCATGCCCGTGACCATTTCTGGCTGCTCACAGGGCTACTTGTAATTCATTTCTATTATTATTCTGTGGTTGCAGGTTTTTTCAGAGTAATCTTTTCAAACACTCACTTAAAGATTAAAGGAAGTCAAAAGTGAAAACTGAACAGTCATGCCACTTAGAGTTATAGAAACAAGAGGCTGGAGGGGGTGGGTTGAGCTCACAAAGCAAACACCCCGATCATCAAATCCAAGCAGCTTGTACCAGAGGGCAATTGCTATTAAGTTACAGAGTCAACATCTATTCATCAATATCTCTATTCCACAGCTTCAAGATACTTTGCTTCAGAAGGAAGAGGAACTTGCTAGGTTACATGAAGAAAATAATAACCTCCGACAATACCTGAATTCTGCCCTGATTAAGTGTTTGGAAGAAAAAGCCAAGGTATTGTGTTCAAACCTGTCATACAAATGTGTGCAGAAGGAACAGGTTGATTTGGTACATGCCAGTAAAATATATGGAAAATCTAAGAGTGTAGACAAGCTGCAGTGGAACTCACACTCACATTTAAATTCACAAAGGTGGCAGTTTGCTCCAGGAATGATATCCTGTCAGGTTCTGACTGTGGAGACAGTGTAGCATCTGAGATAATTAAGTTTAATTTATTAGTTAGCTATAAGTAAGATAAGATTATATAGTCAAGGTAAAATTATTCCCTCTAATGCCTTTTATCAGTAAGAAGCTCATATTTGAATATATATATTTTGAATGTCTCTTTTTTCAATCATCCCTTTGATAAGTATTTTTTCCAGTTTATTAATTAAAAAGTTGTGTGGGGTTTTTTTTAATGGTGAAATACAAAATTAAACATTTCAGGTTGGATGAAACATTCTGTTAAACTATGTATGAAGGGTTGTTTTTTTAACATTTGAATTCTTTGTCTCTCACCTAAACAAAAATAAAGAAAATAATTCTTTCTTGTCAGCTTAAAGACATTTTTTGCTATTCCAACTAATAGCAAATTAGTTGGAATAGCACATTAATTTTGCTGTTGCCCATGAAACTGAACTATTGATTATTTGCTCAACTCTGTTTGGATTGGGCATGAGGTAAAAAAAACTGTAGGACATAGGAGACTTTCCTTTTCCATCCTGTTGATGAGTTGCTAGCACATTGTCCTCCTTCCCATGGCCAGACCTGGCTCCTGGCAGTAGAAAAGGTCTCCTTCACTGGGCACAGTGGCCGCCCCGTGTCATGTGGAGAAGGGTCCAGTGTGGAGCAGTGAATTCATGACATGGTGGGGAGCTTCCTTGTTTATTCTTGCCTTCATTTGGCCATAGCTGGATGCCTGAAGGGCCCTTGTCCTGGGATAATGACAACCAAGGTGAATTGGTGAATGCAGTGCCACTCAGGCTGCTGCTCTGAGCACTGCCTTGTCAGGATCACCCTGTTGCAGCAAAAGTTACCTTTGATAATACCTCTCTCTTTGTCAGGCTGCCACTTCGCCCCCCATGCCCTGCTCACCTGCAGAGCGCTGCTGGCACAGAGGCAGGTGGCAGCCCAGGGCTGGGAATGCCATCAAAGCAGGTCTTATTGACATGGCCACACTCTTCTCTTTCAGGAACAGGGTTGTTGCAGACACTGTGAAGATACGAAAGAGTTGGTCATACCCATATGTTTAAGCAGAGGTGGGAAAAAAGTCTCTGTAAGGACTCTGTAAAAAGTCTCTGTAGTAATCAAGTAGGAACAATCTTGTGCATCTGGGGCAGGGGGGAAAAAAGTCTCTGTAAGGACAGTAGTAATCAAGTAGGAACAATCTTGTGCATCTGGGGTCAGAAACATGTTGCCTTCAGGTATCTAGAAATTCAAATTTTAATCTTCCATCTCCACCTTGTTGTTTTGGTTTTTTAATAGAAACTACTGTCTGGCCATGGGCAAAAAACCTGTCCTATCCTCAAAAGTACCAAGAGGAGATTAAAAGAGGACCACTGCTTTGTTCCTCAAGAAACTCCTCATGCCTCCAAAGCTAGAAGAAACCTCTTCAATGAATTCACTGCCTGTGAAGAGCAAGCCAGCCCTGCTGTGGACAGCTGGGTCTTGCAGACTTTAGGATTAAAAGATGTGAACACCATTGATGAAGCTTCAGCTAACTACAGTGCCCTGTCCGCAGACCTTGGAAAAGACACGTACTGCCTGAGCCCTGGGGGAGCAGTAGACTATGAGCACAGGGAAGGAGCAGCAGCAGTGTTTAGCTGCAGCCATGTGCCTCCAGCCAGCAGCAGCACCCATCCCTGCAGTGAGGATTCTCCCTTTCTTCCTCAATTTCCTTCAGCACCATGCATCTCCTCACCTGTGCCAAGTGTTTCCTCCGTCCCAGCCTATGGGTTGCCTTATTTGACTGGTGGTTTGTCACCCAACAAAACAGAAGTGGCCTTCACAACATCCCTGAGTCCCCACCGCAATGTGAGAACGCACAGCTTCCACCAAGGACAGGCCTTTGTGCGCAGGGACGACGATGGAGGGTGGAGATTCACCTGGGTGCCGAAGCAGGCTGAATGATGCACCTGATCAAGGGTCAGCCATAGAGGATGTAGGAGTCACACTTCACCTTGTGCATCAGACAGGTCCAGGCAGAAAAAAGGACCCCTTTTGGGCTGCTTTAAATGCTACTCTGTCACTAACCCACTCTCATTCCCTCCCAGATGTGACTCCAGATTACACTTGGACAATTTTCTGCCCCAGATGTTCAAACTGGATTCTTTTCTCTTGTGCCTGTGTTGAGATACCTGCTTTTACTTGTTTCCTGGGGTTTTGTTATCAGCTCTTCCTTATTACTGGTGGTTTCCAGGCTGGAGGGCTTTCACCTTTGATGGTCACTTTCACATGCACCAAACGAGAAAGCACTGTGGGAATACACCTCTCTCACTTTGGAAATAGCACCTGTCTCACAGATACCCAAAGATAACAAAGGAGGCATAGGTTGGAGGCTGAGGATCAGCAGTTTCTAAGTGATTTGTGTCTCTCTTGACTACACAGATAGCCTTGGATTTAACAAGCACCTGTGGTTGCCTTAGGTGCTGCACAAGGCTGACCTACCTGCAGTTCCATGGTGCTGTCATATTCTTTGATGGTGCCTCAAAATAAAACCTGGATTTACTTCTAATGCCTGGAGGCTACTTAGTTACAAGAGATTCAGCAAGGGCAGGGGATCTTCCTAAAATGTGATGAAGAGACTGATGTGTTTACTAATACATTTTAAGGGTATTTGTCTATCAACAAAAGAAGTTTACATGTGGGGAGGCAGTATCACTTAGTGGTTGGAGTGGGTCTTTGGGAACCCCAGCCTTCAATGCCAGCTCCTGCCTCTCTGTGTCTGCCATACTGGGATGGGCTGAGGGTAACACCAGCATTACTTTGAGAATGCTTTAAAACTCTCTGAGAGAAGGTGCTCTAGCACTGCACAGGACTTAACTTTCACTAGTGCTATTAATGATATGAATATTTAATGATAGGAAGTCAATGGACTTGAAGGAAATTCACCAGTACTATTTTCTGTTACCTTTGTCTTCAGTTCTGCAGTAGTTTGACACCTAATATTCAAAATAGACTGACTTGGTTATTCTTGCTTTCAGAATGGGGCCACTGACATTGAGGAAGGACTTAAGTAAAAATAACCAAAATAGAGGATTTTTTTTTCAGTGGCTTGTTTTAATACAGAAAACAGGATATTTTTATCCTCTAAAAATAGAGGAATATCTTCTAATAGCCTGTTGTGCCTTAGAATTGCAATATTTGAGACACTCCATCAGGAGCAGTAAGGATTTCCCTAAGGACTCCTAAATAAACAAACTGTATTTCTGGGTAGTTACTTTAAAGTAACTGTGGCAGACTTCCAGGATAGGCTATATGAAAGCATTGATTGTAGGCATTATTTCACTGGATTAAAAAGCCAATCAAACTAAAAAAAAAAAAACACCACAAACCCACACAACAATCACTGCAGAAGAAAACCATGACAAAAACTCAGTAAAACCCAGAAAACCCACACCAAACAATGCTCATGGAATAAATACAAGTATTTGTTTCGGGAGCTTGCTGTAGTCCATAAAATTGTGGTAGATTGATGAAGACTGGTCAGACAAGACCACTGTTTCTGTAGCACTTTTCTACTTTTCAGTGAAAGCTGAAGAAAAATCCTGTCCTACAAACGACTCATTTTTTTCTCAATGCATTTATTTTCTATTATTCTCCCCTTGCCCCACTGTATAAGAGAGCATTGAAGAAAATACTCCTGTCACTGGAGATTTTGTTGATGTGTGTGGCAGTGTAGAAAATGCCTGAACTTAACCTGAGCATGTGATGGGAACCCCTGGTACAGGTGGAGGATGTGGAGGATGCACAGCAAACTGGGAGTAAGGCAGTGTGGCCAGAGGACTACACCCAACACAGCTGTTGATGCCACATCTCTCAAAGCAGCTGTAAAACAGAAGTAGAGAAACATCTGTCTATGTTTTCTAACACTACAGAATGCTATTACATGTGAATTTCAATGCTATGGAGTGAGCAGCACTAATAAGTGCTTTTGTACTACCAACAAATCTTAAATCAGGATTTTTTTTCTCTGAAGAGAGAGAAAAGCTTTCCATTTGCCTGACTTTCCTTTCCACATTTTTATATCACTGCATGTGAGAATTTCTCCTGCAGAGAGCGAGAACAAAAGTGTCAGATCTTTGGTACAATCCCGAAGTAGGGTTTCAGTTGGAACAAACTGATACTTGAGTCTTTGCCAGCCTTTTGTACAGGGATGGCTGACCCTTTGTCTCATAGCAAATAAATTATGAATGTGAGGAAATAATTTACCTGAATGAATCCTCTTCTTTTCCAGTGGGTTCCTGAATTTTACTCTATATGAAGGAACTGAGTTCTGTTGGAGAGATTTTTTTCTGAGCCTGAGTTTACTGGAATTCACTTGGGTAGAGGATCCCATGGTGCTGCTCCTGTCAGCTGATGGATGCTCCTGACCTGCACATGCAGACTTCAAATTCTGGTGGAGGCAACTGCTTGAGCAAAGTTCTCTGTGATAATGATGCTGCTGGGCACTGGAGCAGATGGAGCACACTGGAAAGGAAACAGAAAAATCCCCAAAACATTTTAACAAATAAATGAGAGATTTGTTTTACCCTGAAACCACCATTTGAAGCAGTATTTCCTGAATTACATGAAGAAGAATAGAAACAGGGTTTGTCTAACACCAACCCATAGCAAGCAAATCAGCGCAGTGACCAAACCATTCCTTTAGATAAATATTGCTCTTATTGCCAAAAGAAAGCCACTGCTCAACATACCTCACCCTGAACTGCCTGGTTCCTTTGAAAATCCTGCCTTCCTACAGGTGTAATAAGTGTGGAAAACCAGTAAGAGGCTGAAAACATCTCATGGCAGATTGCTGTCACATGATGGGATGTGAGGACAGTTTCTGACTGGGCTGGTGCTGTGTCCCCATGATTTCCTTGTGCCTAGAAGCACTGAAGCTGCATTAACGTGGTGCAGTTCTTTGGCCTGCAAAAATGTGGGAGGAAAAGCTCTTGCTGGTACAAAGACTAGATGGAGTTTTGAAATGGGTGTTCAGTCTTGTTTTGTGCTCCATCCTCCCTATTTGTCCTTTTGTATCCATTCCCAGTGGGGGAAAGAGATTCAAAGCCACCGTGCTGCTCATGGAATGTCCGAGGTAAAGCCCAGGGAAGCTTGTGACACATTCCTGTGCCCCAGAGGTAGCTAGATATCAATGGCAATGAAAGCAAAAAGTGGAAACAAAATCTAGATATTCACACTGCCATCACAACTAGGTAGCCAGGAGATAGCAGAGACAAGTTTCAGCTTGGTACTCTATTTCTAATTTTAAAAAACAGGCAGCTGGAAACAAGGGCCAAAAGGCAAAAGTTCTGGGTTCTGATGCTGCCTCTGGTATTACAGTTGGTTTCTATGAAATTCACCACTGGACCAGTTAATGGCTATTTAATAAGAAAACACAACTCTTGCTGCTGCAAACTCCAAGAAGTTCCCTCTTGCCAAGGATCAGTACCAGGTCCATAAAATTCCAGGATGGGGAGCTATGACTTGAATGGCCATAGGACCCAGGGTGGTTCTTTGAACAGCAGTGAACTTCCTTGTCTGTAAATACTCATCTTGTATTAACATAATTTGCTTTATTTTTTTATTTGAAGTTTGCTTTATTGTGTGACTGTAACATGCAGCTGCATAGTTTAAAATAATCCATGCTTCTGGAAAGGTACACTAACAGAAATGAAAGTTAATTTAACACTTAATATGGTTTCTGATTTTTATGATTTAAAAAGGCCATGATTATATGTAAATGCCAATTTTACCACTGTCACTAAGTTATGGCTAATAAAACTTATCATCCAATTGATGCAATTGTTTCTGGCCACTTCAGCAGGCATTAAACCATGCAGCTGTTGTTCACACAGCACAGCATCCCCCTGGCACCTACACATCTCCCCAGAGGACTGAAAAGCACCTTTATTTCCTGCAGTCACAAGTGTCCACACAAGGACATGCCATGTTTTTATGGTACCAGATCCAACTATATTGACAGCCACAGGTGTGCTCATTTCAGCCTGGGCTTGCACAGCGTATTGCAGTAATCCATTATTGCTTTGACTCAGGAATAGATGCCATGCTACCAAACAGCAAGGACAGAGGGAAATATTGTGCTTTCAGTCTGTTGTTTCTGCAGCATTGAGCTCTCTCATTTATACCTTCCCAGGCAGCTGAGCATCCTCATCCAGGACAACCTGATTCATTATTACAGTATTCTCACTACTCCTGATTTTGACTCTGAAATGATGAATTGCAAAATGGCACTGAGGTGTCACATAAAGAGACTGGAGGTGAGACAGAAAAGCCTGATTAAAAAATTCAAACCTTTACTTAGCTCAACTTGACAACAAAGAAAAGCTGTGTTAGTTATTAACTTTCCTTTCGGTACATGAGCTGGTTTATTGGTAACCATCCACCAGCTGAGACCAAAGAGATTTTTCATTGGAATGGAGATGGCTTATTGCTTATGAAAAGATACAAAGTGAGCCTTCCTTAATCTCTTTTGCCCTCATCTTGAAGCCTTACTAAGTCTATGAGATGATTCATAAACACTCTGGCCTGTTGCCGGGTAGCTGACACCCTGTCATAAAGAGAGAGCAGTCTATAAATAATTTGAGGAATGAGCTGTGATTCACCTAAAATGCCATCTCTCCAGTCATTCCTCTGTTTCATTAGCTGTGCATCACTGAGTTATTTTAAGGCTGAATGCTTAAACACAGTACAGCTCAAGGAAATCAGTATAATAATAGTTCACAAGGAACAGACTATAAAAATCAGCATGAGTATGAAGAACTGGGAGGTCTGAGGTCCCCATTTTCCCTAATTTATTTTTTAAAATCCCACTCGAAGTGTGGCTGTAATACTGGTATGGTTAGCTGAAACTCCCAACAGCTGCTGCCTCCAAAGCTGTTACTAGCCAAAGATCACTCTGAATATTC